CGATTTAGCGGATCTCTCGATTTAACGGATAAATTTTCTGGAAAAAAATATCCGTTAAATCGAGACTCACTGTGTATATTAATTTTTATATGGTACCACATATAGTTTTGATTTACATAGTATATCGACCACCCAATGACACATTCATGTTTAATTAATTTTACATTAAAAGAAAATCATTACCAAATTTGGTCATGAGATTAAAAATTGTAACACGAAAATTATTGTTGCACTTTTGAGCATAACTTTCAAATTTAAAAAATCAATGAAAAAGAAAATTTGAGACAAATTTTTTTTTAGATTAATAGACTCTCTTTTTAAAGCTGAATTGAATGGTGGTGGGTTTTTTAAAATCCAATGTGTGGATCACATAATATTTCAAAAAATTTAACTTTTGAGTATAGATGATCCGCACTGTATGTAAAAGGACCTTTACTTCACGGGAAAAATTTTAAATTTTTTCTATAACTTTATTATCTATCAAATTACAGTTTTATTTTTTTAATTACATATTTATATGGGACCCTGAAGCCTTTTAAAGATAGCCCCCAAAAATTGAGCCATATAATTCTATTTTATTTTATTTTCTAAATGCCGAAAAGAAAAATAGCCGAAATAGTAGAAAGCAGCAGCACAGAAGAAAAGAAAAAAAAACAGTTCACACTCCAAAGTGGTATAAAATTTTTTACAAAACATGTGAATCTGGATGCTGCTACACAAAATTCATACCGCAAAAAAAAAATTTGAGCCCAAGCATTGCGGGCATTGAATTATACATTGACATTCAAAATTTGTAACGATAAAAAAACCGTAAACGATTTATGAGTACGCATTTAACCATAAATCAGTCGAAATAAAATAAAACCAGACAAGATGATAAAATTTATTTCAATAGCCCCATATAAAATTAATTTGAAAATTATTTTATTTTAATAATAGAAAAAAAAATGAGAATGAGGATGTAACTATATACACAAGGAAAAAAATTGATAAATAATGAATGATGATAATTGTTTGTAATAAATAGCGATTTTTATTTTACTCTGTAATAATAATAAAAGCACTTGTTTTTTAAAATCTATTTAAAATTGCCACCACCGCCACCGCCACCATTACACTCAAATTGTTTTATTCAAAGGATACAATACAATTACAATTATTAAATATAATAAATTGAGGATAATTTTTTTTTTAAAAAAATACATAAATGTAAACACCAAACCATACACACCACGCATTCTAAAAATATGTACAAAAAAAAAATAATAAATAAATAAAATAATGTGTGATATGACAAATAAATTCAAAAAAAAAAATTTTTTTTTGAAAATATGAAAAGTAAATATGAAAATAATAAAGAAAATATGAGAAAAAAAATATTAATATTAAAAATACATATCTAAAAAAAAAATCATTTATTTTCTTCTATTTGAAGATATTTTAGATGGCACCGTGCTACCAGGCGCAGGAAGTTTTGAATTTCTTGAAGTTGCCATTGACATTCTATTTGCTGTTGTCGGTGATTTTTTACTAGTAGATTTTGTGGGTGAAGTAGTGGTGGTGGTATTTTTACTCTTTATATTACTATTATTGCTATTATTGTTGTTATTGTTACTGTTACTATAATTATTTATTGGTGAAGGTGATGTGCCTCTACCAACAGAAGATCCGTATGATATGGAACTTGTAAAAGATCTCAAAGAATCAGTTTCTGATCCACCAAGAGGAGAATCTGGTGGACTATAACAATAATTATCAGGTTCATCATAAATACTATCTGTTTGAAGACTAAATTTACGTGCAATTCCTTTAGCTGTTTTAGCATTTGATCCAGCAGATGACGGTGTTCTAATATTACTGTTAGGTGAAGTGATGTGACTTTTAGATGATGCTGTGTTAGTAATGGCTATTGAACTAGGTCTACCAAGCCTACTTAACGTTCTGGTGTTGTTTGATGTATTGTTGTTGCTATTGTTGTTGTTGTTGTTGTTACGAGGACTTGGAATATTTCCTGCCCTACTACTTGGTCTGGCTAGACCTGTCATTTGTGAAGGAGGACGTTTAAGTCCAAGTCTAGAATTATTATTTGCTGTTCTAGACAGTGTAGGTGATGTTGGCCTTGATGGTGATGAAGGCTGCATGCTAGCACGAATTTTTTTTGACGATGAATCAGTTGGCGAGTTAATTGAAGTCTTTGTAGTACCAGCCCTACTTAATGGTCTAAAATTTGATGATGTTGATGATGATTTACTCATAGATAAAGATGAAGATGGTCTTGGTAGTACTTCGTCAGCTGAACAACCTCCACTAATAGATCTTTGACGAAATTTATTATTATATATTGCTAGTCCTCCTCTCGCATTAGTAGGTGATGCAATTCTTGATGTAGTAGGTGTAGTTGATGAAACAGTGCTGTCATCAGTCATGGTACTACTATTACTAGTGGTACTAATGCCACTTAATGATCTTGGACGAGTAGAATATAACGATGGCGATGGTGATGATGATGATGATGGTGATACTGCATCTGATTTATTTGCACTCGATCCAGGCTTACCGATTCTACTCGGTGCTCTTATTCCCAAAGTATTTGATGGTTTCCTTGTTCCACTTCCAGTTATTGTGCCTCTTGAACTAGTGCTTGCTGCTGATCTAGTAGATCCATTTGACATTGTTTCAAATAATTCATCCGGATCTGCTGTCGATGAGGCTTGTGATGATGTAGGTGATAATGGAGTTAATGGAGATATGCCGAAATGACCAAAAAATGCAGATTTTGACATTCCAGCTGGGATTCCTGATTTACCACCTGTTAATGAAGCACGTGGAGTTGGTGCTGGTGATGGTGATGGACATGGTCTCAGAATCGGTGTGATTTGTGTATCTAACAATAAATCTAATTCATCCTCCACTTCTTTTGACTCCAGCTAGAGATTATAACATGAAAAATAAATAAACGAATAGTTTTAAAAATGCGAATATAGATATTTTAAAGCCGCTTACATCAAATATATTATCTTCGTTATTTGAAGTTTTCCAAAGGTCATCGGCTTCTTGATTATCAATTTCAAGTGGAGTATCACTTAGACTTTCTTCTTCCTCAGCTATAATACTAACAGGCCTGGCTGTATTAAAGTTCGGCGATGGGCCACGTAAAGGTGTAGTTGATGGTGTTAGATGTCTAGCAAGCTATTAAAAAATTATTTATATTAGCATATATATTTAGAAAATAATAATGATATGTATATATATGTATTATAATAAATAAATAAATATTATACCTCGGATGGATCGATTTTCCAAAAATCTTCACTATCGTCACATAAATCGTCAACGTCATCGCCTAGATTAACACCGCCACCCGCATCTAAATCACTTGTTTGAGCAATCAATTCATCCAAATCTATCGAACAATCTGATTCAATGTCTGATATTAATCCATCTTTATATTTTCTAATTAATATGGAGGAAAAAAATTATAATTAATTTATTGATTGATTGATTGATTGATTGATTGATTGATTGATTAAAATCATTAATTTTTAAAAAAACTCGTACTTTTTATCATCTTTACTATTAATAGTTATTGTTGGTTGTTGTGAATCATTTTGATTCTTGGTAGGTGTTAAAATAATAATCTCATCATCATCATTATTATTATTTTTAAGTTTTCTTTGTTTCATAAGGTTTTTTAGTTCCATTCTTTGTTTTGAACGATCAGCAGCAGCTCTTTGACGTTTTTCATCTGGTGTTAATTCTTCATTTGGTGATGGTGATATTGACGAATTTGAAGATGAAGGAGACGGTGAAAGTGAATTTGATGAATTTGATGAATTTGAACTTGAAGGTGAAGATGGCGAATTATTTAATTGTTCATTTAAATTAATTTCATCTTTTGAATTAAGTTCACTGAATAATATAAATAAAATTTAATTATTAGTAATTTTTTCATCATCAAAAAAACAATTAATTTGTTTATTATTACCTACCTTTCATTATTTAAATTTATTAATGATGGTTCATCTTTATTATCGTTACTATTACTACCATTACCGTTATTGTCATTACTATTACTATCATTACTATTACTATCATCATCAATAGCGGAAAACTATAATCAAGACATTGCCACTAATACCACTGCCACCAACAATACCGCCACCAACAACGTCACCGCCACCACATCGCAACAACAAGACCCTAACATATATGTATCGGGAGATCGTTTTTATTACTGTGGGCACTATTTTGCTAGAGGTGATGCCGTACTCATAATTGATTCGACAACTGGTCGATACACTGCTAAATTTATCACCGCAACTGATTCAGAGGTAACTATTAATTGATTAATTATTGGCGAGAGAAATTTGTGAGAATGACCGATAAATCAATTGATTATAATTATAATTATGATTATATACTTAGGTGGTAATACAGAAACCAGATGGATCCAAAACAAGACTTCAAATAAATTTACTAAGAGAAGGAAAATATGAAATTCGTTTGAAGGAATCATAACAAATTTTTCTTTAAAAAAGAAAAGAAAGTTTTATTATAATTATTTAGTATTTTTATTTTTTTTTTTAATAATTCTTATACAAAAAAAAAATTATTTTCAGATTTTTTTTTTTATAGCTTTTTTAAACAGTATATATATAATAATTTTTTTTTATTTACAAAATTTTTTAAAATAATAAAATATTTTGTTTAATGTTAGTATTAAAATTATTATTTTAATATTTAGAGTAATTTAGTAAATAATTATAATAATAACAATAACAATAATAATTAATATAATGTACACACATTCACACAAATAATATAATATATATACACACATATCAATTTAAATTCATTTTTTACATATATACATACACCCATTTTTTTTCTAGAAATTAATCAATCATTCAATCATTCATTCATTCCAAAAATATTTTTTTCAAAATCATTCATTATTTTATATTTCATATTAGTGAAAATAAAAATATATATGCAAATCAATATTTTAAAAGATCATTTTGCAAAAAATAAAAGAATATAATTTTTTAAAAAATTTAGATGATTTATATTTATAATTATATTTATATACAAGAATATCTTTTTGCGTAGTAAAATATTCCAAAGAAAATAAAATATATAAATAATAATGATGATAAAAAAAAAATATATAGTTTCTAATATAATAACTTAATAACTTAATAATTTAATTAACACGATAATGCGCACAACACCCATATACATACACAATCACTCCAACCCCAAAAACTCATCATTACATATTACATAGCCTCGTTAATAATCTCAAAAGCTTTTCTATAAACTTCTAACATTGTTTTGCATTTTTGTCTTTCGCTCGCCAAATTCTCATCTTCCTGTAACAATTCATCAAATAAATCATCTTTGTATAACTCGGAGACTAATCGATTCTGTACTTCTTCACGTGAATGGTTGACTAATAGGTGCATAATTGCCTTGGGCACTGTGTCTCTAATCGTTTTTCTTACAATATTAAAATATGATGAGATAAGTGATCCTGAAATAATAATCAGTGATTTATTAATGAAGGTTATTATATTAATTAATTAAAGAATTAATAAATGTATATATCATACATATCATACACACACAATTTCTTGTGTGTGTCACTACTTACGTATTAATTGAGTTTCCAATTCTTCTCTTTCAGATAAATTGTTATGATCATCCAAAGCGATACCTTCGAATTTCTTCTCTAATTCTATGATATCTATGCTAGATTTAGCAAATGTTCCGTTTTTAGTAGATGATAGTGGTTGATCAGGTAATGCTGTTCTATCGTTTTTATTACCACTACCAAAGAAATACGTCAAAAAGAATTCACGCTGTGCCCATGTTTGGTGATTGCCGCCACTACTGCCACCAACACCATTTTGTAAATGATGACCCATCATATTATTATGATCTTTACCACTATTAATGCCATTATTTTCAAAATGAGATGATGATCCATCTGGTCCATCATCCTTTAAATTATTTATTGACGATGATGAATTATTATTATTTAACAAAGAGCCGCCCCCTGTAACACTTGAATTATTTGATCGTCTAGTTGATTTCTCATATTCTTTTCTTTTCCTGTCGTTTCTCTTTAAAAGATCAGATAATGCGCCACCACCACCAATAAAATCTGGATGATTTGTATTAATATAGGCACGTTGAATACTTATTAGACTTTCCACGTACGCTGATGTAGGTGTAAGTCTTTCTCGAAGTAGATCGGACAACACTTCAATTATCTTGGAGTGTAATCGTGGATATCGAAATAATTCCTAATAATTTATTTATATATACATTTATATATGTTTATGTATGTCGTTACTATTTCACTTGACAAATAATAATAAATAATCCAATGCATGCATACCGAACCACCACAGTTATGACATATTTTTGATAATTCTTCATATACAAGTTCGACACACCTCAAACTAGGTTGTTCAAGTAATTGGATTTGAGGCTTAACCAACAAATCAAACGCAATCTCTGGAACAAATAATGATGGTCTTGGCCCTGTTGAGTTACGTATAGCAGTTCGAATATCTTGTACTGAAAGGTTTCCACATGGGTTAATAGTTTCCAATGCTGCTCCATATATACTATCAAATATATAATATATACGTGCACCGCCACATCTAATTTATTAAAATCGCCATTGTATTATATTATTAAAGATATTAAAGTCAAATATTTTATATATTTATATCATCTATAATTGCAAATAAATAAATAGATATATAGATAAGGATACAGTTCTTTAGTTGAAATATGGCTTGTTGTGCCATCAATAGAAGTTACAAAGTCGGTTGCAAATTTTGTAAGATGTTTTAATATTAATGCTCCCTATTATATAGTTATTATTATTATTATAATTATCATTATAAAGTTATCTGTTTATATATATATCATAATGATTATTAATATAATATCATGAATATCATAAATATAATATACAAACCTTATTTGATTTTCCATCAAGCGCAGGATCTCCATAAGTCATTAATTCTTGTGTTGTTTGACCTATGAGTGCGTTGATGTGTGCTTTTATATCTGGTAATCTTTCACGTATGTGATTCATTAAAATCTTTTTTTTAAAATAATTAAAAAAGATTTAAAAATCGCTTCAAATAATAAATAATCATGCACAAAAATAATAAAATATATTTTAAATTACATTATTTAAAGTTTTTGTCAAGAATGATGTACCCAATCGTGTAGCAATATTTCGGTATGCTGGATGATTTTTGAAAAAAATTGCTTCAGATTTTAAAGCATCAGACATTGGTTTATTACCAATTATATCTTGTTGACTCCGATTCACCACTCCAATAAACCCTAATTTTAATGGAAATACGCGACCAGTAAGAATATCTAATGCATTTGTTCCTGCATCCATCAAATCTAACTTTGTTAATACCCCTATTGTTCTTCTTCCTAATATTTATTATTTAGAGAGAGACAAGATTTAATTATTTTTTTAAAAAAAATAACGATAAAATAAATAATTTACCTTCTGGATCAACTTGCTTTGCAAGTTTTAAACTTTCTGAATTTACTAAATCTACATTTGCTGGACTGACTGCCAAAATTATACTACATCATAGAATAATTAATAATTAGAATAATTATTTACGTATTTACATTATTATTATATTCCAATAATGACAATAACTTGCCTATTTGGTTTTTCTATGTAATCAAGTATCATTTTTCTTGTTTGTTTTTCAATATCAGTTGGTTGATCACCTATTTACACAAACATATATATATATATATAAAAGTTAATATACACATGTCAATATAAATAAACAATATTCAGGAATGAATGATTAATTAGAAATAACGACTTACCAATAGGAATCTATTAATTATAAATATATAAAAGTATGCATAATATTATAAAGAAAAAAAGATTTGTGAATGAAACAAATATCAAATCATACCTTGGTCAACCCAGGAAGATCTACCAAAGTTAAGTTGAGAACTTTGGGAGAGTATATTTTTAGGTGAATTGGTGACCTTGAAATTCCTTTATTCTGACCGGCAACTCTAACAGTTTCCGCTTCAATTTCTTTTCTTATTTCAGTGAAATCTGTAAAGTTTTGACTTGGCTCATGCAAGAACACGCCATACTCTTCTGCTGCTTTTGAATCTGCTTCAATGTCGTCAGGTGGTGGTGAATTGACAAGTTGAAGTACCAACGGTCGACGAGTAACAATTCCACAACCACGAGGTAAGAAATCACGTTGGACAATATTCTCAAGTACTGATGATTTACCGGAAGACTGTGACCCAACCACAATTATTTGTGGTAGATCTACTGTCTCACTACCAATTGTATTAAAAACATCTTGAAGTTTGTTTACTAATGGAATCAAGTTATTCATTTCGTTATTTGTTTTATTTTTAAGAGAATTTAGAAGAAAAAAAGAATATCATAGTATTACTGTATTATATCAGTGAACATAGTGACACAAAAGAATCACAGGGGTCATAAGACGTCGGGGTGTTAGATAAGGAAATCAAATAAAATCAATTAGTATAAATATGTTGATCAAAGCATGATTGATTGGCTGATCGTCATATGAAATTTTGTACCAATTTTCATATGCTTAAATAAGAAAAGTGGTCATGTGCTAGCTTGGTTACATTACATGTTAAAGATGGACGAAACTTTACAGACATTTTGCCTTTTAATTTAATTACTTGCAAACAATTTTAATCGCATTAAATCGCATTCACTTGGGACTTTTATAGAACAGTCTTTTCTTATGAAAATATTACATCTGGTTTAAACAGTATGTTTAACATACACAATCTTGATATAAGAAAGTACAGTTTTCTTTTCTTATAACGCAATCAACCATGTAGGAACTTTAAAGCTATTATAAATAGCAGTCATTAAATGGCGCCTGTAATAATTAGTATTAATTAAACAGGAGAGTATTTATATTTATTTAATATTTAATTATATATTTTACCAGTTATTTATTTCATCAATTTTCTTTTGTAAAGCTAATGCTAAATTATCTTTTTTATTCATTTTTAGCTGATGATAAAGTTCCTCTTCTGAATCATGCTCATCATCTCCTTGTTCATCTTCATTTAAATCATCACCTGTTAATTTATCTGTGCCCATATTTAATCGTTTTAAAAACTCTAACATTTTTCCATATACCTTCTTTATAATATTCTAGACAATGTTTGCACTTTCTTTCCATTTCATTATAACATTCTGAATGATACCCATTACTACATATTAATATAATTCCTTCATTACTAATGTTTAATAATTTACTACAATTGTCACCGATTAAATTCGGGAGAGCGTATTTTAATTGGTGATGACAATTATTTTTGTTTTTGCGTGGATCAGAATGAATAGGGACCAACGAATTGATTTTGTTATTAGCGAATAATTTTGGTTAAAGAAGATAAAAGTTTATTTAAATAAAATATTACTATTTTATTTATTTAGTTTTATTTAGTCGAAACTAATTAACTTGTAACAAAGTTTTCCTTAGTCAAAACTAATTAACTTATAACAAAGTTTTCCTTAGTTGAAGCTAATTAACTTATGACAAAGTTTTCCTTAGTCGAAACTAATTAACTTGTAACAAAGTTACTTTTACATTAGATCGAAATCAAGTTCTTTATATACATGTTCTTTACATATTAGCCCGAATTGGGCGAATCTGCCCACTTTATATTTGAGAGATTCCGCCCGGTCTGGGATAATCGTCATTAATCTCTACTAAATAAAGTTAAATAAATATGAATGTGCTACGGATTAATTAATAAAAATTAAATAGACGGGACGTAACGCGAATTCAGATAATAATAATTATACACGTTATTAATAAATAAATAAAATTAATAAAATAAAAATAATAAAAATAAAAATAATGAAAATAAGAATAGATAATAAAAATAAAAAAATAAAAATAAAAATTTAATTTGACCCGAAATTAAAGGATTCGGCCAAATTATCTTCGTCATCGTTTAATTCTGGTAACACAATTATCACAACTATTGGAAGAAGGAAGGAACGGAGTATATACTATATCCTGTTGGCATGCTTGTTAGGTCTACTTTGCCAAAAGTAGGAAGTTTATAAGTATTTTGAGTCATTCTTTTTTTTTATTCGTTGTTTTTTTGAAGGTGGTGGCTCATTGCTAACTGAATTTATCTCTTTGTTGTTTTTACAAATATTTTGAAATTGTAAAAGAAGAAAAAGAGAAGTTTTGTCAGTTAGAAATTCTAAATCTTGTGGTGTATATGGATATCGGTGAGTAGTTGAAAACATTCCATGAAAAGTTGAATATTTATGATAATCTAAAAGGTAAGCTTGCTTTATTATATTATCAGAATTATCATTTGGTGATGTTGTGGCATGTATTCCACTATGCATATTTTCAATCCAATAATCATTAAATTGAATTAAATATTTTTCAATTGCTTCTCTCATTGGATGACTTATTTTTTCCCAATAAAATAGATCTGATAAAAATGCTAGTGGAGCTTTATTATAATTCTTCTGTTTCCAGCAAAAGGCAAAAGTCCAGATGTGAAAGATTGTTTCCACATAGTTCTCAAATGATCCAGATCAAAAGAGAACAGCATATACATCAAGAGCTGCTGGTATAATATTATCTAATAGGTCTATAATAATTTGGTATTCAGAATTCTTACACATTGAATAGAATTTTGTTACTATATGCTTTTAATTTTAATCCATGCAGTGAATGCTAATTCTAACAAAAGATTTATCCTCCATGGTCTAGGTTTCTTTGCAAGTACTTTTTGGTTACCAAATACAAAAGAGCATAGTGGACATTTGATTTCATTGGCTAAATTATGTGACAATCTCCCCTCCAGATATCACGCAAAAATTAAATTTTATTGGCTTGAAGATCGTTACGCAAATTTGAAAAACAAATATTAATATCGGAGGGAAGGAAATTTAGTTCCAAATTGATAAAAATAAAATGTTTATAA